ATCGCTTTCCCGCCAAAAAATTTGCATATTTTTTTAAAGCGTCCGTACACGGCACCCAGGCACCCGCGGGGATTATATTAAAATGGGAGGGTCGCGCATGGTATGGGCACATATTTCCAAAGTTTTAGCCTTCTAATTTTTCTGGTTCTCGAGTTGAAAGTGGGTGACATAAACTGCGAACAAACAGACACACACACAGACAGCCTCTTCCAAATATACGTTTTTGCAACTTGCATATATGCAAAAACGCACATAAATGCATAGAAAAGCGCCAATCGGCTAAATCGTGAAGTTGAAGCTTACTTTATATAAATAGGCCATCAAAATATTATTTGTTTCTAAATACAACATTTGAAATATTGTCATGTTATAGAAACAAATAATATGCAGGTCGAAGTAACTCGCCAAAAAGCAATGAAGCATCGTTTGAATGTGCATGTAAAATTTCCCGCTATTGCACGATAAAGTGAAACCTTTAAGAAGAATCAGCTTCTTTTGCTGTTCTTTTGACAATCGTTCGAAATATTCGTCAATCAGAGTATTGAAAACCAGTTGATTCCGTCTCTTCAAAGCAATTAGACTTACAGACACGTGGTTTAATGACGTCGTAGAATTACTAATGATTGGTAATTTTTGTCGCAAAAAGAAGCACCAAATAATATAACAAGAAAAGACGGCCAGCAACCCAGTTCGAAATTTAGTATGTGCAAAAATAACCTTAAATGAGGATTGCAGCAGCTCGAAATCATCCTCAGCATCAGACGCCTCTAACAACCATTTGTTGCATTTCGCCTCCAGTTCTAATCCCAGCTCTCTTTTCTTGTACAGTGGGAATTCTGAGTAATATTCTTCTACCTGTCATGTGTTTCTCATTACGAAAAAGTAAATCGCATGAAATGCGCACTATGGTTCCTATTTATCAAGCAAAATTAATATCGTTACTTTTTTCTCAATATACGTGTGTTAAATTCACGGTTTCCATTCAGTAAACTTGTACCTAGAAAACCAACTTTATTTGGACAATCGATACTGTACCAGATTCAGCTATCATAATTCGTGTCTCCAGCCACTATCTATCACTTTTCGATGAATGAGCGCCACCTTCTCGGAACCCAGTGCGATTGCTTACTTCCTCACGATTATCTCCCACTGACATGCGATGTAGGCCAGTTACCAGTAAGATGCAAAATATATTCCAACTAATAAATTTTGCTCTGGCACTCGGCAGTAGCCCGAGTGGTAGTACAGTGCAAAACAGCAACCACCGGTTGGAAACTTGCCGGCGGCCATTTTTCAAAGAGTTGCTTAGGCGCAAACATTTAGCGGTTTTAACTCCTTCACATGCGTCAATATCCATTTTGCATAAAACTAGACGTTAACGACATGCAAAGCCAAATAGATTTCTCCAAGAAAAGTGATATCCGTGCAGTTCTTCAGCACTTTTTTTTAAAGAATATGGATAACACGCGACACTCTCGATGTACGTGGAGCACGACAAAAAGCCAAACATATCGCAACTTGAAAGGATAGTAAACCGATTTTGCCTAGCACGAAAGAAGGACACAGATCTTGGCGGTTCTGACTGCTGTCAACGGGGATTGGTCTCCGTCTGTTTCCCTTGTCATCAGTCGACGTAATTCTCCTCAAGTGGTGTTTGAATAAGATCTTTAAAATAATTTAAGTGTATTCTCCCACCGTAGCTAGTGACGAAGACAGACTGAAGAATTCCTACAATACCATCTTAACTAGATAAATTCATACCTTTCGGGCAATGTCCTCGTGACTAGCCCCACTAGTCTTCTTATCATCAAGCAGAGCGACCTGCTGACTGCTAAGCATGTGGTCAAGCTCGTATTGTTGCGCCACATCTCGCCGAAGCTTCCGTAGTGGTGCTTGTTGGTTATCTATCCCGTGCAACTTGTAGCATTCATCCTGGGATTTTCTTTTTCTACATCTCCAGTGCTTTTTTTTTCTTTAATATACATGAACATGGCAACAATTATGCATCTTTAGTTGGCAAAAAAGGGACACCAAATTCAAAACTGCTTAACCAAACCGCATTTTATGGCGTAAATGGCACTCCCCACTCCTCATATTTTTAAAAATCGAATTCAGAAATGCAAGGCTTTTAATTAAAGTTTTATATTTCTGAATTTGATTTCAATTTTCTAGTACCGCTTACAAGCACTGCACACTTGCAATTTGAGCTGGGATTGTGCTCGAGACCAAGGGTTCGGCTTCGGTAGTAAGACGCTCAGTATCGTACAGTTTTTTCATTCGTTTTGATGGTAGTGTGATACTGGTGCTTACGGAATTACTATATCTCACTTATCAACATCACTCATAACTCTTCTAAAGAGTGAAATCGACAGTCTTGCTAGCGAACGTAAATAGTTGGTAAGCCTCAGGATACTTGCGGGTGCCCTGTCTCTTACCGAGCATGAATACAGTGAGCGTTCTGACTTTGGACATCTCAGTGCCATTTAGCAGCTTTCAGACAGTTCCGGAAATTCTTGGCGAAACTTCTGTCTCACACCACTCGGTCATCCTTTCGGGGAAAATCGCACCTCAGATATTTCACGCACTCACTTGACGGAATTTCTGACCCAGACAACTCGGGCATATCGCCGCGGTGAAATTCCCGCCTGTGTGGTAAATTTTACACCTTTTCAGTTCGCTTTCGTGCCCTCTTCTGCTGAGTTGTATATTCATTGGCCCCTTTTTTCTGTTTTCGCACCCGGCCTGTTTTGCGCTTATAGAATGTGCAAAAATCAGCAACTTTGTCCTCTCATACCTACCTTCGTACACTTTCTAGTTCACTACATCATTACAAAGA